GCTACCGGGGTTAACAAGTCCTAACAATTCTCCTGTCGCCGCTCATTCATGGTCGAAAATGAAAGGGCAATCAAAGGGGTACTATTTTGCTTATTTTTGACGGATTTCTTTGCCTTTTTTCGCCATTGGCGTACTATTGAGCACCCTCACGTCCCCTTAAACCCCTCCGGATCTATCGTAATCGCTGCCTTTAAGTGCCTTGAGATGCTCCCACATTTCGGTGCGAAGTGACTATACATAACCAGAGATAAGCATGTCTACCCAAGGCTCAAGGGACGGAGGAGCTCCAAGGTGCCTGAAGCGCTCACCACTTGCAAGAATTTGGATGGCATGTGGATAGGTTTTGTAGGAGTCGAGCGTTTCACCCAACTTTACAAATATACGGGGGGGGGGCAAAAAAAGTCACTCTCACTCACATTCAAAACAGAATTAATTACACTTTGCCAAAACCAAACCGAATGAGCTCAATTGCATATTGAAGAGCACATTCTATTCTATCAAAAAATTACATAGGGGCTTTCTACACCGACGACATCAGAAGATTTTCCCACGGAAACATGGTTCACGGTACGAGCTCAACGAGGTCGTCGAGAAACCATAGACGATTACGACGTCTCTGAAACGCTGGTCAAAAGCCATCTTGCATAGTCAGAGCTAGTGTCTCTAAGAAGCATTCACCAGTTATCCGATTGAAGAAATTATGTAGCAGCTTCAGAATGGAGCGATTATGGTAGGCCTCCTTGAGCTCGACGGTGATGACAGATGACGTCATTCTGGAGACGGTGAAGGCAGCGAAGGTGGGCCTGATTCTGCTTATGGGGGGACATCTAAGGAATATTTCGCCGTATAACTCCCAATAACAGCGGCATCCTTTGCGACAAAAATTTGATGATATGCGCCATGGGCAAAGTGACTCTTTTTTGCCCCCCCCCCCCTGTATGCTTCAAATGACTCGATTGCGTAAATATATCAACGCGCACACTTTTAGCATCGGTGATAAAATAGCACATTGGAGTGTCATCACCCCTCCCACCCCGGTAACCCCATTTTCACCGATCTAATCTCTCGTGCTTTCGTAATCGTGGTACATATGAACCAGTTTGTTTGTGCATACGCTCCCCACTAGTTTGCACCGTCTACCACAAGTTTGTAAGTGTTGGAAAATCACATGAGGATGGCGGAAGAAGTTTGGAATGGATAGAACATGAGCAAGCGAGACATCAACCTTGCGTTTCGCAATTTTCGAAAGTTTGACGACTCACTTCCCCATTCCCGACCAACCGACCACCACTCTCACCATCACGCTGTTTCAATAGTATTTGATTCTGAGACCATTCGACACACTCCAGAACCATCCATTCGACACACTCATTTTTCCCCTCCCACAGCCATGAGTTGGGGCGGGGATTACTGTATCTTATGAATCTCACGAAAGGAGAAATCCTTGAAGATAATGAAAAGTTATGTTTTACCCAAAATGTCTCAAAAAACCGTTTTGGGGGTTAACGTCATCACACGAGCGAGTCCATCCTCAGCAGCCGTCTTTCGCGCCTTTCGCGCTCGGTATCGTGCGCAGCTAAGTAATGTAATGCATAGTAATATAATAATAACACAATGCTCTTCATAATATTTTCATTGTTAAGGCCAGCATATAAGTTTGTTTTCTAGGGAACACCATTGAAATATGTCGGACAAAAGAAAAGAGAAAGCAACAAAATTGTCGAGAAGGAACAAAAAACGCCATCAACCCCAAAGAAAGGACGGCGCTCGAGCAAGATTGTTCAGGTTGTGGTCAGATTTCCTTCCATACGGTTTTTCAGGATGTATCGATCAAATCCGAATTCAGGAACGGCTAGGAGATGGTGCGGATTCAAAAACGCTACCGCCTATCATTCAAGATGTGACTACGCAGCAAACCGACGATACACTGGTTTTACGAGAAATGGACGATGTTCTCAATGTGACTGCTCCAAACAACGGGGGCCTTGATGAAAGCTTGGACGAAAACGACGATGTTACCGAGACCCCCGAGAAACAAAACACGGGAGTGGAGTGCGTTCGGTTTTGTGTCTGAGTTGAGTTGTTCTGGCATCGATTAACACAACAGTTTCAGGAGTATCGCTGCTACACCTACTCCAGCTTTTGTTCAAAGAATTGCCGGTACACCAGGCATATTGAAGAAGGTGGATAGCCCCTCAACAGCTGAGAAAAAGGTAAGGAACGAGAGGAATAGTAGCGGTGCGAGTGGAAGGCACTCTGCAGTTTGAGGAATTTCGCCATTTTTTCAGCTTCGGCGAGTTCATTTCGGAGGAACATTGGAGAATAATGCACTTGATGTAACTACTGATGATCCGCTCAAAGCGATAACAAGTAATGATCTCATTCCCGTTTCTCCGAAGGGGATCGTGAAGAGAGCCACACCAAGACGGCCTTTTTTTCATCTTCAGACGACTGTTGATCAGGTACGCTACAAGTCTGGTTAAGTGGAAAAGTTGTCAAAAAAGTGGAAAAAGTGCTAGAACAGTTTTCTCCGTGTGACGTAAAAACCTCCTGCAAAAAATAAAAAGTAAATGAAAATCCATTTAGAGCTCTCCTTTTTGCAGTTTATCTTGTAAGCGATGCAGCGACTAACAACAAAAAGACACTTGGCGACGGGAGGAGGCAGCAGGCACCGACAAGGCGAAGGAACTAATTGTCTGGGGTGATGCAGGCGACAAGTATCTGGCAAACATTTATTTTGAGGGCATACCTACGGCGATGTACGAGAAGAGAAGGTCCCTTTTATGAGTTCAGCATCTTCTACACGCACTTCCGAGCGGTGAAAGAGGCACACGAGGTGGTGTATCCAGAATTGCTCGTGGAAGGCGAAATTGAGTGGAGCTGTGCCTTTGGTTATAAAATACACCATTACCGCTCTTCACGCAACGTAGTGGTCCGTGTTCAAAGAGTCAGAAGCTGTCAAACACAAATGAGGGGAATCGTTTATTCTACTCGAAAACACTGTCGTTGTTTAGTTCCTTCATCCCTGGTGAAGGGTGGAGGTGGTGTAGTGGCAAGTGGCACGCTCACCACGCGAGCGGGTCCGGGGATCAGATCCTGGGTTACCACGCGAGCAGTCCGGGGATCAGATCCTGGGCTGTGAGTCTTTCTGACCGACCAAGCCTTCCATACGAGAAATGCTTTATTCTTTTACCAGTTGGAAGTAGTCACGCCATCGTTTCAGTGTTTTCTTGCGGTCCGTCAAGAGGTGGCCATTCTCGTCATTTATGCCGAAGAATTTTTCTATATCCTCGGTCTGGCGATGGCGGGTCTTTGCAAGTCGGTAAACGTACCGCTCTCCATCGCGCGACTCGAGTTTCTTACTGATATCAGCAAAATGAGCTGCTTTCGCAGAAGCAACGGCCTTCTTTGCCTCTTTCTTCGCTATCGCTGATAGCAACGGCCTTCTTTGCCTCTTTCTTCGCTATCTGATAGCTCCGCCAGTTCTCAGCTGTCTTTTCGTGAAGAAATGCGTGGTACCGCTTCTTCTTTTCGCGCACTTTCTCTCTGACCTGGTCCGTCCACAGCCACGTTTGCTTGTCAATTCTCCGCCGCCCAGGCTTCGTCATCCCGAGCTCGGATCGAGCTATCCGAGTTATTTCTTCGGCAGCACCTTTCCAGGTTTCGTCGACAGTCGTTACCGCTGGTAATTGAATGCGGGAAATGACGGCCGCTTCTTTTTCCTTCAGTCGCCACCACTTGATTCTCGCTGGCCCACACCTTTCGGTTAGTTTCGGTTTCGGCGGGGCGATCTTTAGCGTACAAATTAGTGGTCGGTGTTGCGTGGCGACCGTTTCATAAGGCACTGTTTTCGCGTCTGTTACGAGTCCTTGGTCGCGGCGCCTGACAAGTACGAAATCAATTTGTGTTCTAGTGTTACCGCTATAGAAGGTGATGAGATGTGAGTCGCGCGTTTTCGGAATTTCGTGTTCACAATGGCGAGGTTGTGCGAGTCTGCATACTCGAGAATTCGCTCGCCATCAGTGTTACGTAACCCATATCCAAAACCACCGTGACAGCTGTAACCGTCTTTCGTAGCGCCAACGTGCCCATTGAGGTCACCTGCGACAATTATAGCTTCTTGTGACGGAACCTCAGCTGTCTTCTCATCAAGCAGATTCCAGAACTTATCTTTGGCTTGTTCGGAGCATCCGGTCTGCGGAGCGTACGCTGAGAAGAAGTGGTATTTTCGTTCAATGACGACAATGATTTTCATTAATCGGTCGTCGAAGCGCTCCACGTTTACTATCGAATCACGAAAGCGTTCAGAGACAATCATCCCGACGCCATTGGTGGTTTTGGGACCGCCACACAGAGAACGGCTTTGAAGCCGCGGCCAATGTCCCTCGACTTGCAGCAGGACCACCTCGTTTCCTGCACGGCACAGAAGTCTATTCGTCGGCGCTCTAGCGCTTCTGCCAGCTCGCTGGAGCGGCCCGTCAACGTGCCAACATTTAATGTTGCAACGCGGGTCTTCGATACGTTGCATGGCTTTTGGACTAGCCTAGTTGCCCCCCGATGCCGTCCTTGCACCGGAGACCCTCGCATACTTTTCACACTCGCCGGGCTTTGCGAGTGCGCGTCGGCTCCCGCGGACGCCGTAGCATTATCTCGAGATTCATTTAGCGACATTGACATTTGTGATGTGACGTGGGTGTTCGTAGGCCGGCCTGTCACGGGGGCCTGTCGCCTGCATTCGAATGTCCGTGTTCAGCTCAGCTCACAAAAGTGAGCAGTTTCCAGTGGCACCACTTGGAGGAACGGACACCACCACCATGCGCTGAAACGCACATGTGAAAAAAAAAATTTTGCATTCTATTTAGGACAACACAGAAACCGGGAAAAACGCGTAAAGGAATTCCAATGAAGTTTATAATTCGGTTCAGCTCGGGAAACTGGAAAAAAGTGTGAAGAGGTTGGTAAGGAATGGAAAAAAACTAAGCGTTATTGGTGGGGAGGGGTGCGTAGGTTATCTGGCTGTCTCGTTCTATATTGCCACAGCCAGGGTCACAATTACTTATAGACAAGCAGTGAAATTGGCTAGCTGAGGTTACCCATACTTCGCATCATTTTAACTTACTGGCAATAGCCGTTATGCATGTATCCCGGCACCTTTTAATATTTTTTACTAGCAGCATCCACCTCTCAATAACTCCATTATGGCAACAAAATTAGCGCCAATCTATTAAGCATATCCTACTGTATGGTCGACAAGCACGAGAAGTACGATTTCCACTTCTTGTAATGAAAAATTTTCAGAATTTATTAGAAAAAAAGTCGAAAGACTCAAATATTTTAAATGTTCGATTGGCACATTACTGGAAAATTCTGTGTCGAATCGCTTACTGAATCGTTAAGGTGTCAAAGGTCGCCGCGTTGCCCAACGAAAGCATTGCTGCATCTCCGGTAAAATCTGAAGCGGATGCGGCCACTTTCACTGATGACGAGCCTATTTTTCCCCGCTTAGCAGACTGCCAGGAGTCCATAGGAAGAATAGTCGGGAGACTGCTACCATTATCCTCCACTAACGGGTCAGTTTTTCCCTGCCGTATCGTTGTTTTCAGATCTAAAAGGTATGAATGAAATGATCTTTCCAAGGATTTCTGGATATATCGATAGAGCATCAAATGCTGATTGTAAAATGGAGACTGAAACTGCAAAATGAGCCTGCCAAGGAAGTTGTGAGCAGTCAATGTCAGCTGGAAATAAAATGGTACATATGAATCGTGCTGGTCTCTGGGCATTCAGTTTCGCTGAGGAGTAGCGGTGGTGCTCGCAAAATTTGCACTCCAACAGGAGGAGAACAGTTAGCCCTCCGGCTGGAGAGCGAGAGCACTACCACTACTCCTACAGCGACTCTGAATATTCGGACCCTAGCACGATTCATATAAACGCTTACTTCCAGCCAACTTTGACTGCTCACAACTTCCTTGGCAGGTTCATTTTGCAGTTTTAGTTTCCATATTTGTAATCAGCGTTTGAAGCTCTATCGATATATCTGGGTCTTGATTCAAAGTTCCATAGGAACTTGAATGCCTTTCCCTGGTTAGTAGTGGAAAGCTTCTAATAACATTCATAGTAAGTTGCTTCTCCATTTCAGTGCAATTGCTGCGCGTAAATCACTGGAAGCACAAGGCATAGTGAAGATTTGCGATCTTGCGTCCAAGTCTCGGCGTGAGGTGTCGCTGCTGAATATCAAAAAACCACGCATCGAAACTGCTTTACGAACACTTTCACAGTTTGCCCGTGACCACTTCAAGGCAGAAACATCACCCATAAAAGTGATTTCTGAGGTGAGCTTTTTCTTCTTCTGTTTTTGGTTTTTATGCACACTATGATGTTTATCTAAGATCGAAAAATAGGCGCTATAGCAATATTCGTGGTCATTTCGCTTTGAGCACTTGTCTATGTTTTGCTACGTGTCTAAAAGTATACATGCTAAGGCTGGACTGTTAATGGAGTGTTCGTTGGCGATCGTACGTGCGATTAGGCGATTAGGCGATTAGGCGATTAGTCTATAATGAAAAATATACGTATAGATTAGGCGATTAGGCGAGTAGGCGAGTAGGCGAGGCGAGTAGGCGATTAGGCGTGAAGACATACGTATTGATTGGTTGCTCCGCCCATAGAGCGTTGTAGGCGAGTAGGCGAGGGTGTTAACTATAATTCTAGAGGGTCGTGCAACGCGTGTCGCGTGCGGCGCCCTTGGCCGGTTGCCAACCGGCCACAATCCGGTGGGTTCTGTGCGCAGGGTTGTTAATGAAGCATTACTGCATATTTTCATCAGCTGAGGCTACGTTTTATGTCTGCGACCTATCACAAACCTCCTCATCGGTTCCCCGTACGACGTTTTAGGCTGTTGGTACCAAACTATACTGTGTTGCTCAGGAATATTTTTCGATTTCCTGAGCATATCAGTCTTCATTTGGCGCCTTCAGCATTTCGACTCGAGCCATTCGGATTCCTCGTTGCTTTGACATGCTACGGTTCATCTGTTATCTTCAGAGGCAAAAATACTGGCCTGTACAGTATCAAACATGAGTGGGTACAAAAAAAAAGGGTACTTCTGGTAAAAATGTTAGGCATGAGTATACATAGTGTTAATGTAAGAGTAGGAAGCTTAGGCGCTATGTGAGTCGTACGGGCAGGCTGATTTTTGGGGAGGAAAATGGGAATGCTTACCCATCCCGGAGTGTCTCCCTTTTCTAAGGCTTAGTCCTATTACAAGAGACAACTCTGGAGTCGGTAAGCATACTATTTGGGAAGAGTAGGTAATATCGGAATCGGCGTGCCCATCCGAAAACCACCGGCTGCTGACACAGATGAATGATTAACCCGATGAAGCCGTTCAAGCCTTGCCCAATCTATAAAATTTGTTGTGCATTGCCTAAAACTCTTGTCTCCCTCCATAATTGCCTTGAGAGCAGAGCTATCACGATGACAGTGATATGCGGAAATCTGATCAAAGGAAACTTGGCAACTCCAACTCTCAGATACTTATAGTTACAAAGTAGATGTCACGGAGTGAAGGTATAACGACGAGATCGGTGGATGAGGACAATGGGCCATCGGAGTAATTGCTTATGCACTTTCGACATGGAAATGGAGGCATCACGTTACTTCACTTCGTGATTGCCACTATTGCTCTCGAAAGTGTCAGAAATAAGAAGGAATCGCGCAGCTTCCTCAAGATGATGTCAGAACTTACGCCACCACTAAGACATCAACATCGGTGAAGTGAATATACTTCTTAAGTTGTCACGGAGTGACAGCAGGGCAGAGAAAGCTCAGTGAAGTGGAACAAGCGTATAAGTGCGGACTTGCTGAGAAATCAGCCGGTTTCTTTGCAACACTAGTGTCGCGCTCCAATACAGGATATGCGCGCGACACCGTTGCGCGCAGCTCTAGATTTATAGATGCGGCCGTAGGCGAGTAGGCGATTAAGGGATCGCTCATTGGCGGAGCAACAAATCAATACGCACTACTCTTATCGCCTACTCGCCCACTCGCCTAATCGGCTTAAACGCCTGATCTCCTAATCTCACGTACGATCGCCAACTATGAGCACTCCATAATGGAAGGAAAGAGAAGAGGTTTCAAGGCGCTATCCCAAAATACGAGGGCATTGTGATGACAGTGCACCTAAGCCGCCTAACACATCTTTTTTTCGGTGAAAGGAGACTATGGGAGAAGAAGAGGCATCGATATTGAGCCAATTTTTAATTTCCCGATTTTCTTGGCCTCCTCCTGACTTAGTCACAGGGACCGCCCCCGAATCTTGCGATAGCGCCTACAAGGGTCTATTTTACAAAGTCAGCAAAAAATCAGCAGAATGCGTAAGTATGAAACCGCTGGTATATGGCCAGAATATACACGATTGGACGCGTTCTAAGACCTAAACAAGTATTGACAAGTATGTAACCACGACTTGACCAAAATGCACATGTTCATACAAAATTCTTCTCTATATTGCAACAGCGGCGAATTATTATTAGTGATTTTGGTAAAAATTTATAATCATCGTTGTCTATAAAAATAATCGATTCAGTCGACACAGGAGTCATTGCTGGAACCTGTGGAGGTACAAGAGGACGTTGTTCTGGAAGCTCTCGAACAGTCTGGCACCGCAACATCATTTACTGTTGTGATATCCGAAAGCAGTGAAGGTGTATATTGCGCTTTTGCCTTTCATCTGAATAGTACACCTGGTAAGCTCGCTTTTCAGCAGAATTAGAGGTCGCTGGAAGTAACAAGATGGATCCGGTGGAAATTCATTCGGTTTCCGAAAAGTCTGTGGAGCATGAGTACCTCGCTGAAGTGAAAACTGTCGAAATGGAGGAAGCTGATATGCTCGATGATCATGAAAAGAAGCGTTTGTTTGAAGCAGGTGAGCTTTACCACATTCTGCTATTTTCGATCTATTGGGTTGTCTCATAATTCCTGTCGCAATTTCGACACTTTTTTATTCAAGTTTTATCTCTTCTGGGAAACAACTGACTAATAGCATAACCACCATCATGGTCACTGATATGCGTGCATTTACTAGTGGGCGTTTGGAAGCTTCCAGCCCAGAATGAAGGAAACTGGGGGTTGAAGAATTTGGAGAAGTCGTTTTTGGGGTGACCGCAATCTTTAACTTTCTTCTCTGGCAGATGCTTATTCAAAGCGCAGGGGAGGCGATAGTCCGATAGAGCGATGCCAATGCTATATGGTGGATGAGGTATCGTGGCCCTGGCTATTCCCTCAGAACGTGGTGAGTTGGCATTGCAATGTGAGGTCTGGTGTACATTCGGAGGAAGGGAATCTGAGACGTTTCTGACGATTCTCTCGCAAACCCCAAAGCCAGCCAAGAGGGCTATTCCGCGCTGACTTTAGCAATGCTTGTCTTCATACATTGAAGTGGTTCCCAAACCAGGCCACCTAGCGAATCCAATAAAACGAGAGCGATATTCTCAGAAAACGGAGTTCGGGCTTTGGTTGAGCTGGTGCTTCCTGGCTGCGAGGCAGCCATAGATGCCGCATGTTGTTGTCGCAGTGGACTCATGACTCATTTCCACGGTGACCGATTAGGGAAGGCTCTGCTTTTGCCATCCCAGAATGGATTTTCCCCAGATGGTCAGGCGTGCTTCCCGCTCATGGTCGGCCGGACCATAAGGTTTCCATCAAAACTTCACTCTGCAGCAGTCTTTGCCATACTGATGGCCAGTGCTGGTGCATCGGCTGCGCTCACTGCTACAATGGTAGCAACGTGCGGAGGCACTCCCAATTTAGGGTGCAAGGGGCGCTCATCAAAAATGACCGCAGGCCCAGTATGAGGTTGAAGTTCATAGCTCGTTTCGTCTTTGCCGTTGCGATTGGTCCACTAGCTCAGTACCCTATCAGTAGCAGAGACTGAGTCAAACACAGCGCTGATCTTCTCTGTTGTCCTCCTTGCTACAGAGTTCATTTGAGGATCGTAAAGCATAATCATTGATTGCAGTCACTGACCTATTTTTATTACTAGTTGATTAACCCGTTAAGGGCTTGCGCTTCCGAAACCACGCTGTTAAGGCACTTGAAGCATACTTCAACATACTAACGTATTTCGCAATGAAACGGTCTTAGACGGAAGGAATTTGAAATTGAATAGAAATGCGACAGGAATTATGAGACAACCCAATATACAGCACTGGGATGAATCAAAATGACATCTGACAATGGATTACGGCTAATCAATACCTTCAGTGGATAGGGTCGAGAAGTATCCAGAAGTTCGTAATTGTGTTCCAAGTGCTCAGCTAAGCGCTTGAAAGTTTTCTTTCTACCCACAAAAAAACCATCTCCCAAACACCCGTCTGCTCTTTCTGATTCTCTTTCGTTTACAAGTCTTTTTTGTGGACGCGCATGTCTCTAACGATCTGATGTCTCCTTGTAGACTGATGCTCTGCTGTCTCCTCCTAGACTCCTTGACCAACGGAAAGAGCATCCACTTCCAAGTTTGTGGGACTATCACACTAATTTGATCGTGGAATGCGCCCTCAGCCCTTTGACGACAATGCGGATTCGCACGCAACGGGCTCGTGGTACCACACCTCTTTTTGACGCGCCCTACTCGCGCTGTACCTTGTTCTTAGAAGCAGATTTTATCGAATTTCCGACCCTAGAGATATATCCAATATAAATGCAGTTTAAAACTTCATATTGCGAATTCTTGGAAAGAGTATGGGAAGTTTGGAGGGTGAACTCGGTTTCCAAAGGGATGGATGACAAAATCAATTCATATGTACAATGGGATTTTTATTAAAGTTTAGGACCCCTCCCTGTGTCTGAAGAATGAAAATACGTGGAAGTCCTGATCAGTAATTAATCTTCAGCTTCATAACTTAAAAAGCAGCAGGTGAATATCGCTTGAGGATTCCTCAACGGCACGTCGAGGATTCTCTGCCCGATCAGAGACGATCTCTCGCGCGGACATTCACACTCGCCATGCCGTGCCGTCTGTGCTCTCCGCGCGGATGTTCACTCTCGGCACTACTCTCGCATGGTAGAGAGCTATGGTCGAGGAAATCCTCGACCGTTATTCACCCTGGGTGGGTGACAATGTCGCCAAAGATTAGGACTTTGGGATGTGTGATGCATTTTCAATTAGGTAGCTCGTTTGCAGGAACTTTCCAAACTTATGATAGAAACAATTCGTACAGCCTTATAATGATTACGGAATTTTGAGGGTCGATTTCAATAACTTCATATAGTACTGAAATTTTTTTAGGTGCGCGTGAGGACGTGTCGGCGATGGGACATCAAGGTCCAGGCTGAAATAGACGGTAATGGAGCTTCTGCTGATTTGGAGCGGCTTAGGCGAGCGGCATCAAAAGCGGCTCGCGCTCTTCTTGATGTTGTGTCGTGGTGTGATGAGGCGACCCCTTAAGACTCGTGGTTTTAACGTTGTTACTGTTTACAAAGTATGTATAACCAATTACTGCTATAATCATTACTAATACTCACTGCCATAACCACTTGTCTAAATTCACATAGTTCATTAGAAAAATTATTTCACATTATTTCATCACAGTGAAATGTATGAAAATAATAATTAACCCGTTTATGTAATTTCGGCCCACTACAGCATCAGTTTTTTTTTCATCCGATTGGCTCACTCCTACCTTGATTTGACGATTATAGGTGCATCTGTTTCTCTTATTGTTATATTGATCATGCACCTGGCTTTAGTCGTCTTTCGAGTAATCGTTTAAATCTTGTGAACTTAAGAGCCGCATTCTTCTCTTCTTGTCCAGCATTATTTTCTAACTAGGCTTTCCAGTTCCATGAGTTTACTTTGATTGTTCATTTTGGAATTCTCTTAGCTGGATGCTGATTCACCCTTTCATACAGCTGTACATTTCGCTGAATAAACTACCTTGTATGATCTGGGTTTGTAGTAAAATGGACGCCGTAGAACATTTGTTGACGGGGAATTATCAAATTCTAGAGTTACTCAGGGGAACTTTTACTTGGAACGCGCATGACCCAATTGAGAACTATGGAAGAGCCTTTGTCCGAGCAGTTTCAATGGTGTTGAGTCCTAGTTAACGCTTGACCGTTGCTTCATAACCTGACATTTCAACTCATATTTGTGGACTAGAATCCGGGTTAAGTTGAGGATTTTGAAAAGGAAGCAAAGGGTTCAAAACGCGGTCGGCTCGATCGGAGTTTTTTGAGAGGGTTGCTTGCGAAGTTTTCCAGGGAACTCTGAAAAATGCATAGAAATCTATTCAGCTGCATCACAAATAATCTGGCTGTTTTTATGGTTTGTTCTATGGATTTAAGTATTGGGCCTATACCCTGCCCCTCCCTATCCCTCCGAAAAACCAAATTACCAAAAATATTGACAGCCATATGTCATTGAGGCAGTTCAAAAGGAAGATATCTGCAAAACTACTCAAATATGAAGTTTCGTAGTCTCTTGAAATTGACTTTCTTCCTGATCCTCCCTTTGTGATGTGATGAATTTTCCTTTGTCATTCAAGTTGAGATGCTGATGAGTTTTAATTGTATCATGAGTGATTTATTACGATTGTATTTCCCACGATTGCCTTATGCAACGTAATAAATAATAAAAAGGTTTTCCGAAGGCACGGGCGCGAGAAAATCCCTGGAGCAATCTCCTTCGACCGTGTGGGAAGTAGCAGGGCCTCTAAATACAGGGGTCATGGCACTGTCATGATTTCTAAACGTGTGGCAAGGATGTAAAGCCTTACCATGACCGCTGCTACCGCTGCCTATTCTTTGTGCTGTTTACGCTCCCTCGTATGGCGTGGTTTCTCGCGTGCTTAACTCCCCTAACTGCGCTGTCTCCTTCTTGTACCACCGCCGACTCCACAAGAATGGAGTGCAATATTCAACGCTCTTCATGATTCTTTTGCTTTTTTTCTCATTAACTGCCTCTGCCTCTTCGCAGCTCGTGTTTCATTTCCGAGCCAAATAACACTTAACATGGTGGTGCAATCTGCTTCCTTTAGGGAAAACTAGAAGTCGCGGGTACATTGTACGCTGGGAATCCTTAACGGCAGGGTTCTATTTGACCTGTCTGAAGAGGACCCAGGCAATGGAGACAGCATCGAAAGTGTAGCAATTTTTTCAGATGAAGGGGTGAGAAACAGGGTCTTTCGCCGCGTTCGCAGCTTTCCAAAAATTTTTGCCGACCGCCTCCCTTCTGGGGGCTCTGTTGTGGGTGACTTGAGACTAGAGTTATGATGGACGCCTTTGATGTCCTGCGGTGGTTCAGTGGATTTGATGTAAGAATGTGTACAAAGACAGAATAGAACGCCTTTATTGTATGGCTGCAGGAAAAGCTAATGAGGTTGTAGTATTTGTTCCTGCTTATACAGTACCAGTTGGCGCCGCACGAATTGCGCGTACAGCACAGATCTGCATCGAATTTCGATGGTGTGGCGAAAATTTTCGTATTTGGTTTATACAACAAAACAAATATCTGACTTCTCAGCTAAATTCTATCCGCTCCATCATCGACGGCCTTTCAACCTCTTTTTCTTCGTCAACCATTATCCTCTTTTTCCCGGTCTCCGGACTGCTTCCGGACAATAAATCTCGTGGCAAACTCCGCCTACTTCGGTGCGTGCCCCGCCCACCAATAGCATTTGGCCCCTTCCTTTCGCCGACCTCTACCCCTTTTTCACCGGTCTCTGGGACCTCTTGGAACCAAATTACGACACTTTTGGCAAACTCCGCCCACTTAGGTGCGTGCTCTACCCACTAATAGCAGTTGAGCTCTTTTCCCTCCAACCTCTAACCCCGTTTTCCCCTATCTCTAGGACCTCTTGCAACCGAATTGCGACACTTTGGCAAACTCCGCCCACTTTAGTGCGCGCTCCGTATGCATGATCACTATGCGACATCCACCTTTTTCCCGGCCTCCGGGACTTCCCGCAGCCGAGTTATGAATTTTCGTCGCAAACTCCGCCCACTTTGGTCAAGCCCCGCCCACCGATGACAGTTGGCCTCCACTCCTCCACCCACCTCCATCCACCTTTTTCCCGGCCTCCGGGACTTCTTGGAGCCGAGTTATGAATTTTCGTCGCAAACTCCGCCCACTTTGGTCAAGCCCCGCCCACCGATGACAGCTGGCCTCCACTCCTCCACCCACCTCTATCCACCTTTTTCCGGCTCTTTAAGACTTCCCCGGCCCCGAATTATGAGGACTTGTAGAAAATGCTGTACACTTCAGAGCGCGCCCCGCCCATTGTGGGCGGGCCTCCGCCCACGTCATGTATGCTGGGAACACCTTAGACATTGCTCCCCTACACCAATTTGTTTTCTGCTCTGTAGGCTTTCTCCCAACCGAGTTATGAAATTTTTCATAAAGCACTGCTTTTTTGGAGAACGCCCCGCCCACCGGGGGTGGGTCTCCCTAATTCGATGTGACTTACCAATGCACACCTTTACCCACCCACTTTTTGGCCCAGTTTCGAGGTCGTTTTGTAAATTGAAATCTTGGTCGTCAGTACACTTCATTTCGACGCACGCCACGCCCACTGTGGGCGGGGCTCCGCTTAGCTGATGTGTGTTTTGTACTTCGTGAGACCTTGCCCACCCGTCCCACACTTGACCCGGTCCCTCCAGGCGGATCCCGAGGAGCTAGGGAATTTCGTGACAGACATACAGAACGACAGACAGACGAAGCGCTTTATAGTAGTAGGATGGTTGCCAGACGTGAGGTCGTTGGGGGGCATGGTCAGCTATGCGCAGGCAAAGATAGGCCCGCAGTGTGACCCTCTCGACCATCGTCAGCTTCACGGACTCCTCCAATACGACACCATTCCTCTAAACACCACTTTCTCCATCATGCTGTTTTCACGAACCTCTCGTTAACACGTTGACGACATCGCGCGTTTTGTGCTTTTGCACCGCGTGGGACAAGAGCGATTTTGCGAGCGCAGCCGCCGCACACCAAATCCATGGATTTTAAGTTGTAAATCCGCAATACTTAGATGCGATGAAATGTTTTCAATGATGTTCGATCTGTCTAGCTTATCAGGAGTTACAGTAATGGAAGTTTGACCGAAATGACGTGTTAAGGCCATGAAAAGGGAAATTTTACTTAATTTCCCTTTAGTGGTTCCAAAATTAATTTGGACGTGGTTGTTTCAGTAAAAACACATATCTTCCCATACGAATAGGTTTGTATTCACTTCTATTATTCCTTTTTATCAACATGTTTACGTTAATGAAAAGAAAACGAGGAATGAACTGAACAGACATATCCGTAAGGTCTGGAAAACCTCTGCCAAACTAAAGAATATTTGGCCTTTCTGTGAGCCATGTGGTTTTTAAGTATGCTAATGTATGCCTATAGAATGAGTACAAAGACCTTAGGAATAAGTCGCACAAGCGCAAGAAAAAGGGATGACTTGGGTGGGACGCGTTACCGCGTCACAATGTCCCACGAGGTGCGCAAAGTGGGACGCGTTACCGCGTCACGCTGTCGTCAATGTCGCGACGCCGGTGCGGCAAGCCTGGGGCAAGACATGACGAACTACAACGTGGCTTGCAGCCCGGTGCCGTGATTTTGATGATGTACGGAGGGGAACGCGCCTGCTGCTGCCTGCCACGGTATCTGCGGTCCTCATCCTCCGTTGCCCCTATTCACACCTTCCTGCTGAAGGTCCACTGCGCTCCGAGAAGAACTCCAACTGCGCTACGATCCTGCTGCACTTTCCCTTAATGTTGACTGACAGCTGCGCTATGCTACTGTTATTGTTAAGAGCAACGTCAATCAATAAATGTTAGCCACTGCGAAAGTATTACATGTGAAGTAAGGAGAAAATACCTGACGAGTGCGCGTTACATCTTGCTACACAACAAAGCACAAGATAGACAAAGTGGCTTTATGCCAACTAAACAAATCACGAAACCTAAGACCTTGAACCTACGGGTTGGTCCTCGCCTCATTACGGGTCGCCGGTGCCTCTAGCCCCCTCGTCCTTACACGACGCGTTAGCCGGGGTGCGTTCACGTCCAAGGCGCGAGTGCAGCGGAACCAGGGTTCCTTGACTCTGCATTCACGGATCCTCGTCGAAGGTGCGCGATCCACCCAGTGGCGCAGCGTCCCACGGGTCCGTTGCGCGGACGGACGACGGCGCTGTAGATACATGGTGGGAACTACCCAGGCATCCCAGATCTTCTGCGCATTAGCAGCTGCGCGGTAGATGAATACAATTGCGGGACGAATTGATGCAGGTGCGAGGGACGGCAATGGCCGACGATGGTGGAGATGACGCCGGTCGGGGCGGAAGACA